GTGGTAAATGTGGATAAAACAACTGTTTGTGATAGAAAGACAACGTGGTAAATGTGGATAAAACAACTGTTTGTGAAAAAAAGACGACGTGGTAAATGTGATAAAACAACTGTTTGTGAAAGAAAGAGAACGTGGTAAATGTGGATAAAACAAATGAATGTGATAGAAAGACAACGTGGTAAATGTGGATAAAACAACTGTTTGTGAAAGAAAGACAACGTGGTAAATGTTTTAGCCAAACTTCCATCGGTTTCCATGAAGGTCATTTGGCCAAAACGTTACCATACCAGTTTCCGCTTCTTTTGACAATTATATTTTCATTGTTTTTGTGTTTTTGAATATTATCACGTTCTAGCTTCGTTTCTTTGTTATTTGTGTCATGGCGGTATTTTATAAATGACGTTTACGTTGTTTTGTTGTTTTTGAAGAATAAATATAAGGTATTTTAACTAAATAAAATCTTAATATGTTAATACTTATATATATATAGGTATTAGTGTAAATAATAAACTAATAAACTCTACTTTGAAATGCTCACATTCAGTTCGTACTTTCACACACAAGAAATGAACAATATATTAGGTTTGTCAGTAGAATTTTGAAAGGATTAAAACACCGTATGAATGATTTATAAATATATTCTTCACAAACATCAGGATGCCATTGGTTTGATTTTTCTACCACATTAAATGCCATCGATAGCACCTGCATGCACAATAATGCGTATTTTGTAATGTACATAGATCCTGGAGTAGAACGAGGACTTTAGTTGGCACTTTGTGTCTTGAAATGCTTCAATTTCAATATCAAATGGTGCTTGGCAAAAATGATCTTGCTGGACAATACACTGCAAAATATATCTTCCGACGTGTTTATTCTCGTTTATTATAAGATATAGTAAGAGCTGGAAATGACACTAATTAACTCAGCTCAGATGATAGTGACATAAATACTTATTGATAAAGATATAGTGTGTACCATCAGAGGAAATTTGTAGCATATAATAATAACTAAAAAGTGGGATTGCTCTGACGAGAGTATACACTGAAAACTTGTTTTCACAGTGAACTTCGTGCAGCGGGAAGAATACACATGCCTGAGTAACCTGAATTTTGTCTTACAGAACACGACTGTCATTCTATGAACTTGTTTCCAGTGAGCAAAGGTTTTTTCAAAACTAGTCAGCAAAACAGATGACTATCAGTATAGAGAATACTGTTTTATGTAAAACCGTACAAGTTAAAACAAGGGGTATTTTTCTTTCAGTACTAAATCCATCGATTTTATTATGTCAGCATCTGAAAGTCGGGGTGTTCAACTGTCGATCTCATAATGGCTGGTACTGCTGTGAGTGGTTAGTCACTAGATCATTATATTTGTAGAACATGTTTGTAAATACAGCAGAATTGCGTTATATTGTTTCAAGATATTCTAAAATCGACGTCTAATAATCAAATTATATTTATTGTGTGAGTATGGGTTTTATTTCTAATGAAAATCATTTCCCAAGCCATTTTCTTGATATTTCGGATCTAGTAATTAGACACTTAGTTTATTCAAGATCAATTATTAAAACCGTAACAGTTTCTTTGGCTTTTCCTAGCATCTTCCTGGAACGTTAGCCAATGAAAAAATATTCATATCAAGACTATCATGACAACCAGTCACTAAGTGGCTTGTACCTCGAGTTATGCTAAGACGTTATCAAGCAAGTACCTTTATAGAACATATGATTATGCAATATTCTCTGCACAATCAGAGCAACTAAGTTCTCTTGATTAAGTATTTAGGCTATGTCCTCCCCAAATTTCCTAGAAGCAATAGCCAAAGGTCCAACACTCCCAGGTTTGAACTCCTCCACTGATGGTCTAGGTGGAAGAATGATGGCACGGCCACGAAGAGCTGACTCATGAAGTTCCTTCTGCATCACAGCCAGTGAAACTTTGTTAGACTTGAGAAAATCCTGCATAGAAATCATCTCATCAGAATTCCTTCGCTCTCCTTCACTATCGTACGTTGAATCTGGTTCGTTGATTTCCGCCGCTGTTTTAGGAGGAGCTGTTCTGTTGGTTTGTTTAAGGTGCTCTGGGGTAATAGCATTTCTGCGTCCTCGAGGGATAGGAGGCCTGATTTGAACTTTAGATTTTTTAAGGCAGGTGCAGCGACAGTCAGATTTCTTGATAACCCAGTTGAGAAACTGTTTGATAACTATGGAGATAACGTTGAAGAGACTGTACATAAAACAAGAACCACATACTATGAAGATGAAGTTTCCCAGCCGATACCACTCCACATTGTTATAGTATGGTTGCTGGCTTGAAACGTAGTCTCCAAATCCAATTGTAGCAAAAGCTACGAAACAGAAGTAAAGACTCTCGAAATAAGTCCAGTTTTCTACAGGTGAATAAAGCGCAGAGGCACAAATGGCCAAAAATACACACCCCAAGAAAAGATATAACATAACCCAATATACGGAAGGTTTCCATTGGTCTAGATTATCTTCATAAGAAATCTGTGAGTCTCGCCGATCTCCACCAAACATACCTTTACGTCGTAAATCCATCTCATGAAAATATCTGAGAATATAAGCAAGAAAGGTGATAATCCTTTCCAGAAACAGGTTGAAAAAGAGAAACGCACCGGAACACCCAAGAAATCCATAAAGGACCACTAGGATTTTCCCTTCTATCGTTTGTGGTGTGGTCATTCCAAAACCTAAAAAAAGAGCGTGAAAAATAATTATTGAAGACATTCGTGATTTTTAAGCACATAAAGATCATTCATAAACCTAGAAATAAACACAACCCCAAAATTAAATGATCAATTAGAGGCATATAATTAACAAAAAAAAAAGAAACTTAATAACAAAGGAAAAACCGAGATTTTCTCTTTTTCATTTAGTTCGATGTAACCTGAAATTCTTTTACACAATAATAGAAACGTTTGAAGGTGTAAAATAAAGACAGTGTTCTAAGGTGGGTGCTAAACTAATGCAATTTAATTCAAAAGTCTAAGCTCAAAATTCAATTAACAACAAAATCAACATTAGGTTTCAATCAAAACTGTGATTAGGGCACTTTCTTTCTTTGTTTCTTTCAAGAGTGTCTCACACCCTTGAATCGGTAATGAACTTAAAACTCTGTTGTAGAATATTCGGTGCAAAGTTTATAAACATTGAATATTAAAATTAAGATAAAACTGTAATCAATAGAATCAAAAACAACAGAAAACAAGACAGACAAATAAATATCCAATTGTTTTCTCTAATTATTTTGTCACATGGTTAATAAATAAAATTATATACTAAAATGGCCAATATGGTTAAATTATTATTAAACAACAGTATCACACATAACGCTAATGACAACAAGTTCAGCAAAGTTGCATTTTGTTCCTAATAAAGGGAAATCCAACTTCTACAAATGATTGGCTTTCGTTTTTGTTTTTTTTCAAAATTGTGTTCAACATTTTTGTAATCTACGTATTCACCAAATATCCTACAAAAATATATTTGAGAAATATTTCAAATCAAAATTCATAAGCTAGATAACTTTCTTAAGTCAGGTGGTTAGGGCGCTTGACTCTCAATCTGAGAGTCGCGGGTTCGAATCCCTGTCCCACCAAACATGTTCACCCTTTCAGCCGTGAGGGCATTATAATGTGATGGTCAATCCCAATATTCGTTGGTAAAAGAGTAGCCCAAGAGTTGGCGGTGGGTGGTGATGACTAGC